ATTAATACTCGCGAGGAATTACAAAACAAAATTGTTGAAGCAATCGCCACAACGACACTAAACATGATTAGAAACGCAACAAGCAGTTTACTGCGACGCGTACAATTGTGTATTGAATGCGATGGGGGACATTTTGAACATTTATTATAAAAAATATTTTAATTTGTTATTCAATCTGTTAAACTGTTTTGTTATTAAAATTCATTAAATATGTTAAAAGTGTTAATTTTTTAAAGTGTTAAATTAAGGTTTATTAAATTGGTTTAAATTATAATTATTGTTTAAATTGATTTTTATTAAAACCATTGCAATTTTTATTTTGTTACAAACATTCAAAAATGTTCTAAAATACAATAACAATGTTCTAAAATAAAACATAAATAAACAGCTATTAATTCTATTACAATTTATTTGTCTCGCATAGCGTAGCGTGGACACCTTCATGGTAATGTTAATCGATGATTTTGACAGCTCAAGTTGAAATATGCAAATTTTTACTTGAATTATTTTTGATATGCCTTTAGTTTTTACATTTTTTATTTGTGAAAAAATGTATTAATATGCAATAAATAGAAAAGCGAAAACATATTGCAAATTTATATGACAATAATATCATAAAAAGAGCGCCCCATTAATAGGAGCACTTTATGCATTTGTCATTTTTCCGTACCTGAGCGCGCGAAATCTCAGCTTTGCCATTCGTTAAATGTAATCGCTTCCCGTTTAAAAGCTATTATAGCCTCGACATTTTTGAATTAGAATTTTCTTCTTAAAATATTGTAAGTAATCTACCATTAAGAGCAATTCCGGTGGTTTTAGGACACCCTGTATATAGAAAAAGTATGTTCTATTTACGAAACTTCTTTTGTTAATAAATTTTACTAAAAAATAGATAGTAATTAAAATCTGAATGATACCCAGAGATATGACTTTAATAACATATGTTAAGATTATAAAATCAACTGAGACTACTCCGCTAATGTAAATAATTAACTTTAAGCTTCTTCGTTCGGTCGATTCAAATTATCGAGAGATCGATTCACTGAGATTGAATTACGAAGTGTAATATTTTATATTATTATGGTAGAAACTTAAGCATCGAGATCCTACACATAGATTTAGAAAGTGTTGTTCACCAAACGTATTATTAGACCCACGGCACGGCCGTTCCTCGATCTTAAAATTTCCTCTGTTGTATATTTTCTATTATTAGCTATGTGTGTTACGATAAAAGCGTCATTGGTATGTCTTTCAAGTATAGATAATGTCATTCACTTCTATGCGGACTGTGTGCAAACAAATCGGGATTCTAACGTTGTTTGGGAAATATGGAGACATGAGCAAGCCCGAGATGGCGAGGATGCAATAGAACGCGAGATAACGCAACAATAAGTTGGTATCCTTAAATGCTCTTGCGTAAATGTGTGCCGCTTGTGCGCGATACAACTTGCAAAAGAGAATTAATAACGAGGTAAAATGCGCAATATGATGTGATGGTAACGCGACATTATGAATAAGCTAAAATTATAACTACGACTATAACATTCACATAACCAGCGTAAATACAAATTAGAATAGTGTAAGAAACATTTTATAGAGTAATCATTATATCATTACGAATGCGACTCGATAAATAGGTATGCATGCATAAAAAGCTCAAAATAACAGTTACATAAAATAATTTATCTTACGTTTCAGAAAAGCTACAACATGTATCTGCGCGAAGACGTAAGAAAATTTAATAAATTAAAGAAAGTAAGAGAATTTTCGTATTACGAAATCTCGGTTTCTTCGCTCACGTAACGAAGCGCATCTTGTAACTCGAGTTTAAACTCGTCTTAATCATAATAAAGTAACAGTTGATGCGTTCATTAAAAATTTATTTTACAATTTCGAAGAAAATTAAATAAAACGCGTTATAGAAAGCACCTAAATACTTGAGAAAACTTTAGCATTGTACTTGATTAATTCACGTTAAACAAGAATAAATAAGGAAACAATACCAATTCAATTTAATATAACGTTAAACATAAATGTAAAAGCCGATAAGAGGTAGAGATGTGCGAATCAAGAATTTTCCATGTCAAATTGGAATTGAATCAAATCAAATCGAATCAAACCAGTCCGAATCGAATTATAGTGACTTAATTAAGTTTTAATTAACAATATAATTAGTGACATAGCCTATAGTGCCACTCATTAAATGTTGCTATGAATTTAGTCTACGGGAAGATAATAATGTTTGAACGTGCGATAACATGTTGTCAGATATTATTTCCAGACTTACAATATACGCGGCGAATCTGTTCCCATTATCCTGAATCCCAATTATTAAACAATAGTTAGAACTCCTCTATTTTTCCCCCAATTATTTAATTCTGCTTTAATTCATTCTTTTTAGAACCTGACAAATACAAAGATATAAATATAACTTGCTCACTCTTGCTTTATATTCACTTTCATTTATATTAGTAGGAAATATAACTTTCCAAGATTGCCAATGTGAAAGTTTATATTTAAATTTTCGTATGTTGAAATTTTCAAATAATATGGATTCGAACAATAAAGATTCAAATTTGAATAGTTCGCACATTTCTAATAAAAATCCACGCCAAATATCGTATTGTGAAATACACTAAATCTATGAACCAAAAGAAAGTCTCATACTATTTTTGAGATATACGTTATTCTAGTATTTTACATATATGGCAAGTCGATAACCATATAATACTTGTGCATTATTACGTTTCTACCGAAAAAGGTCGGAATAGCGATCGAAATCACTTAATTTTTCAAGACACTTAATAGTCCATTATTTATTTTGTTTGTAAACTTAGTATGTTTCACAATTAACATCTTGTATAAATTCTTATTACGTTAACGTTTTTTATTTATGTTTAATTGTGCATTTAAAGCCTGATAATTTACCCAACATTTCGTTTTAATAACATAATTTGCAAATTATGCATTTCAGTTATCCTTTAATGTATGATATCATTGTTCGCTTATGTCGCCGCTAAACTATACTGCTATACGGGTTTAAGGCCACACTGACTACACGCTATTGTAGCGCGACTGTAGTTATACACGCAAAAAATAGTGGAATAATGCTTATTATATTATTAATAATTTATTAACAACGATAAAACATTACTGCTGTTGACATTCGCGTATATACGATGGTTCACCTGTGGTCGCATATGTGAAAGAAGGAATTATATTCTCATCATTAATAATCATCAATTATCAAATGTCAAAAATAATAAAGAATATCGAAGCTGAAGTACAATGCTTGGCAGTTGAACGTAACGCAGAACTATATATATATATATATATATATATATATATATATATATATATGCAGAATATAAAACGCGCGATTGTACTTCTTCAAATCGCGCAACCTTTACGTTTTGCAAATGTCGATCGAAGTTCGTCATTTCCGTTATGGTCGATCGATCCCACGTTAAGCAGTGTTTACAACGTAACTATGTTAGCGACGTTCATAATAGCTACATTGTTGTGCCAATCATGGTTGCAGCCATGCAGGCTAATACAAATAAAACAACAGCGTCAGGCTTCTGCGCGATATCCGGAGTATTGAAACTGTGTGAAGGTAAAGCAGCGCGTGGGTTTTGTAGTTCGCAATGTACGTGACGCAAAAAGAATTTCGTCGCGAAAATCAGTGCAAAGTAGGACAAACGACATTGAAAGTGAAAGTAAACCAGCTGTAATATCAGCTGTAATGCTGCACGACCTGTTTCTAAAAAGATTACAAGGTCAATTCTGTATCACTTCGCGTACTCTCGTGAAAAGGTGCAGAATGATCGAGTTGACTGCTGAAAATACAGCAGCTAGAAAAAAATTCTGTATACGGACTTCAATAATAATGATAATAATAATATTTATTGATGACTTAGCAACTTTTGGCAACAAAAAACTTTTGGCAACTTTGGCTATAAAAAAAAGAAAAAAATAATATGAATACATTGAGAAAAGCATGAAAGAAAGAAAACAAGATATGAGAAAAAATAAAAATGATTATAAAAGTATAGAATAAAGACACGTAATTAATAACTGAGTAAAGTAAAAAATCCGCTCATAGATACCTATAAATTAAATTAATAAATAAAAAGATACAAAAGGTATATAATGAGAAATAAATATAAAAATGCAAAAATAAAATAAATACAATAGCATAAACAACCTTCATATTGTTTTATCCATAATTGTATTTAAAAGAATTCAAGAAAATAACAGAAAAAATTTGAAACTACCCTTATAGAAATATCATACTAAGAATCATTGATAATTACTTATTTTCAGTATTAAAAATACTGGATAATAAGTAATTATCAATGATTCTTAGTATGATATTTCTATAAGGGTCTAATAACGGTCCTTGCTCAATAAACACGTCTATCCGTTCTACGGTTGACAATGTTGTTTAATAAAATAGGAGATCTGAATAGGACGTTTTTCCTGCGATAACGCAAACTTTACGCAATTTAGTTATAATTGTACTCAATGGATTTGACAGTTTAATCTAAAAGTGCTAGTTTTACGCTTCCAAAACATACATGCAGTTACCCTCCTGTTTCTCTAATGTTAATTAAACGATTAACCACCCCAGATACGATGAAAAAAATTAGACAATATACTACAATATAATTATAACCTCTTCGATATCAAACTATCAGTTTTCAATATCAATTTTAATATATTGCATGTCTAAGAGATATTACACTATAAATAAATGTTGAAAATTAACATTTTAGGTACATTAGGATTAATTAGTTGCTTAGTTCATGTCATGCGTTATATTTCAGTTTTAAGTTTATAACTTTGTGCAAAATTCAAATGAGTCGAGATATCACACTCTGTTGTTTCGCGAAGTCTAAATTCGTGGCGCTCGTAAATATTGTATCGAACACTATCACAAAATATATTCTTCCATTTTAGGCTGAATATTTGTTCAAAAAAAATCCCGAAGGAAGAATGTTCGAACCGGATTACACGGAAACAATGAGTATGCTTCTGGATACTATCAACCGACAGCGAAACAATGTCCTTCCGGTGGAAAAATTGGATGCCGACGTAGCACAATTCATGAAAAGCCAGGACGAGCTATCCGCTGCAGAGGAGACGGAAAAAAAGCGAGAATGAGTATAGAAGAATAAGTCTTACCTCGATTTTCGAAAAAACTATCAAATATAAACGGACTGATGATTCCCAAAAAGAAGAATTGGATTTCGCCGATCGAATAACTGAAGAATATAGAAACGAAGCTTAATCAGTACATCAAATTTCTCATTAACTATTATTTAGTATACAATGCAAACAGAGAAACAAAAATTTCTTAAACATTAATATTTTATAAAATTAAATATTAACAAATCACCGAATTTATTCCATTATTTATTAAATTAATACAATATTTGTTGGTTTAATGTTTATATGTTCCTTCCTAAGACTGTAATTTCTAAAATAAAGAACACATTATAAATCTTCTCTGATATTCGACGTCATATTTATGCACAATAACTTTGTTAACTTAACTGTAGTGACGTTTTTTATGCAAACATTATTTTTTTAACCCAATAATTCCGATATTCATCCATACGTGACATTGTCTTTAGACACGTGCAATGTAAACTAAATATAAGCCGGCGTACTTAAATATATCAAGTTTTACTACGTATATTTTTCCTTTTAATTATAAATCACATAATCGTGTGTTCATACATACAAAAGACAACATAAACACCACCATTTCTAGTCGCCTCTCGCGGTTGACACAAGAAGTCGTTTGGTTTTATCAACTTTACATCTTATTTTGAACTTGAGGTTATTCTATCTTTTTCTAGTATGTAGTAGATTATTCTAGTATGCAACAAGCATTTCAAACTGAACGTTCGAAGCAACGCTTACAATGGATATACCTTTTAGACACAAAATGAAGTTTTAATAGCCACACGAAGCACATTCCGCTCACAATTATATATTCGGGAAAACTTGTAGTTTGATCAATTTCGGCCACCTGTCCAATATATATATATCCCCGATATATTACCGCAAGGTCACTCCTTTTGCGAAGCACGAAGAAAGCTTAATTGAGATGAATTCATTGTTTGCAAGCGCTTATAAATCGAAATCTGATTTCTCGAGAGGACTGAGGTCGAAGAAGTTTATAATCCTTGACCAGCTATTGTGACTGTGGAAAACTGCGCAACTTTAACTTGCTCTGAAAGTTGCTACAGATATCAAGAACGCAACACAGGACGCTAAATTGATCACTTTATGGAAATTAGACGGCGTAGTGCACAAGGCTGCGGAGGTCACTCTTCAGAGGTAGACCTGCTGATGCGGAAAAGGGATGATTACCACTTTTTATAGAACTATATGGTTATATGTTTTTCTTTTCTCTACAGAGTAACGGTATCGATATTATGTTCAAAAACCGTATGTGCCACGTATTACTAATTAATTGATGTGCCGATACATGCCGCGTTTCGTCAAAATTATAATCGGCCATCAATTATGTGACATCTTGCGACTGACGGAAATTATTTCCCGAGTAAGTTCCAAAGATCTAACGAGTCTGTCTCTCAGTTTCCTCTATCGAGTTTTACTGACAAGTAAACTTACCTTTGTGTCACTCGCCGATTTTACAGAAACTCAGTACATTTTTAGAGTATTGGAAAATAATAAACATGTATTTTTTTATTGGCAATGGTTTATAAGGATGAAAAGATAATTTGGCATATTTTATTTTGAGAAAATATCTGTGAAACCGTGACAGATTAAAAAAAACGTCTCAGATAAAAGTTTAATGATAATTAATGTCCTTGAAAATAGTATAATAAAATTTTGCAATAATTTAATATTTTGTAATAATTTAATAGTTTGCAAAATACCTTCACCACCATCAATTAATTTTGCAAACTATCAAATTATTGCAAAATTACATTATACTATTTTCAAAAACGTTAATTATCATTAAACTTTTATCTGAGATGTCTTTAATCTCTCACGTTTCCGAAGATATTTCCTCAAAACAACATATGCCAAATTATCTTTCAGAGAGTATTTTTACCCTACAATTGCACCATTGCCAATATAAAAAGACAGATGTACTGAATTTCAGTAAAATCGGCGAGTAACACAAAGGTAGGTTTACATGTGAGAACTCTAATATAATTTCTTTTAAATCGCAATACCGGTTGTGTCACGAATGGGCAACAAGAATTTGATTCACCTCGATTAACCAGCGTTAATCACATAAATGCTTGTGATGGTTATAACGATAATGCGTTGTTATCCTGATAAGAAAGCAAAATAATAGGTCATTTTGCTAAAAATATTCGAAAATCGCTATGCAAAGTATATGAGCAATTGCATGATTAGCTTGTTTGATGTTACTTTAGTTAATTAAATGATGCTATATCAGAGGTCAAATTGCATGTAGGCGCAACCAATGGAGCGAATTATTATGCGGGATAAAACGCCGTAGAACACGTTGTCTTATGACAACGGTATGTATAGGGGGATAATGTATCTTCCGGCGCTCACGAAAATATTCATAATACCGCTTATGAGTCTACGCGATCTTCGCTCATCAAACCTACTCACAATTTTCTGTGAGAAAACGCATATTTAAATTTAATTTCTTTCAAGGATGATCGCGAACTTCCGGTCAAGCCGTCATGTACTCACAAGGCCAAGGACGAGGATTCCATATTGTTCATATCTAGCATACTTAATACACATTCGGAGCACTTTCTCCATGTTAAATTAATATGATCAAATGTTTCCGCCGTAAAGTACGCCATAGAATACACTTAACCTTGTGATATTAATACACAGCAGTTTCATACAAGGACAAGGATTAAAACAACATAAGGCTGTAATCCGCTTTCTCGTTATAATTGCTATCACCTCGAAGTACATGGAAATGCTTTTGGAGGTGGTATATCGCAATTTTATGAATAATTTGGGCGTACAAAATAAATGGGCAAAAACTCGAGAGATAAAAATAAATTATGCGACTATGCCTGAAACTGAGAAGAAGAGCTAAGAATCTATGTAGAAATATGTGCAGTTAATTAGCCGGTGAATGTCTCGAGCACTTTTAATTCACACGGCCTAATCGATTCGATACCTACCAGCCTACCGCCGAGAATTAGGTCAGCATGTAATAACCCGGTTTTAATCAACACAATGCGGTGTCCGTATTGAAAATAGATCCGGATCACAAACGTTTCCCTCGGTTGAACGATCGACAGGCGATATCCTGCTCATTCCAGCTGCCAATTTCTGCCAACTGTGTCATAGAATCCGATATGGAGAAGCGAAGTCGCCATGTTCTTTGTAAAACTTCATCAGCACTTATCGATTCTTATAAGTATAAATAGTAGAAAGCTCGGCTTTCGTACTAGAAGTGGCATATGCACACGCGTGATCACACGCGTCATCACACGCGAGTCACGATTTTAGCGGCACAATATCGGCAACAGTAATGCGTTGATGGAACATCATGCTTATATCGTTTCATTTAACTTTGAAACGTCACGCGCTTTGTAGAAACTCAATATGTATGTACATACATTGATGCTAGAGTGTAGATGCTAGCGTGGACAGTAAATAGTCGTTGGATATATTCGAACATCAAATCTCATAAAGTTTGCTATAATTTCTGCTCTGTGAGTTACATAAGTAAACTTCATCAGTAACTCTGTCGATAAATCATGTTATTAAAAGAAAAGGTTTGTTATTACAAGAGAAAATGGTTCATTGCTTTACAACTCGAGATCCAAATCTAGCTGATCGACACATAGCACCGCTAAAGTTCATTATGAGCAGCGGCCTTCAAAGGATCAACGATCGAGCAACGAGTCATTAACATTATACGATTTTACACATATTGCGAACCGCGAACTCGTGCTAATACCTGCGCTCAGGTATTGCCTCGACTATATCGCAGCATCGAAGACCGGATTCTCCCGGTAGTGACAGCGCGTATACACCGCGAGCACGGGAGCACCGCAGGTTGTATATCTGTATCTCCAAACACCTGTTAGCAATCTCGCTCTCGTGTGGGCGGTTCGCCACATCGCCTTTAAAGACGCGTCTCGAGCAGTCCGAATTCCTGCGCCGCCGGTGTGAGGTTGAAGGAACGAACGAATGAACGAACGAGCGAATGAGAACATACTACGGTGACCTTGTTCAGCGCTACTTGACACCGGAAAAAATGTACACTTATCTTCTGCGAAATTCCATCCAGGTGCGATACGCGCGCACGATCTTTATCGAAAACTAAAAATGAAATTTTGCGCTTTCTTACCAGCGTGGCCTTGCAGTGAATAACTCGCCTCCTCGCTCGGCACAACCGTCTCCTCGAGGATGCTCTCCGACGCCGTCTTCACGACTCCCATCGTCGGATGTATGCCGATCCCGGACGCTGACAGTCACTGACGATAGGGAATGCGTTTGCGAATTCGACACAGCGGGGCTTGAAGCTCTTCTCACGACGATTATCTCGACTCGATTGTGCCGCGTTGTCTGGCGCTGCCGGAATGCCCGGCGCCGTTTCATCCACCTATTGCGTCTGCGTTCGCGCCTGCGTTCATCCCCCTCATCGCTCGCCCCATCTCGCCCTTCATGACCCTCATGCAAACCCCTCTGCCTCCGCCGCACGCTTCTCACCCTCGCGAAGTCGTCACAGGAACAAGGCTATTCCTCTAGGCCAGGGTGAGCGCAGTAGGCAGGAGAGATTGTGGTGTAGTATGATAGTGACGGTGGTGGTGGCCTCTTTATATCGTGGTGAGACGGTAGGGGTTGGCGTTGCCCCTACCGTTGGCTGTTGCTGTTGCTCGTGGCAGCTGGTACGTATGTACATACCGACAGTGCTCTTGCCTGCTACAAAGCGGGGTGCGGCGAGCAAACAGTACAGGGGCAATGTCGACCTACTCGGTCTCGGTGAAGGTCTCTGTTGGTTACTCGTGCCATATAATTCTTCCCTCTCACACTGCGTTCTCATCCCCTCCCCTTTTACCCTTCATATCTCTCTCTCTCTCTCTC